AATAACATCCCATAACTATCACAATTCTTTTAGCTTTATAACTATGTGATAAGAACTGTTACAAATTCATCCAAGTTAGTCGATATCTTCCCGTGGGAACGAAGCTTGTACTAAAAGAGAAACTGATAATTCTCTGTACAGAAAACAACGTAACACAAGTCGTCATTTGATAATGGAAACTTTGGCTTTATATTGGTTATAAATAATATAGTATTAAACGTAAGAGAGAGAAAACTATTAACAAATCCTGAAAGAGGGGATGTGAAAGGTGGGTGTGGCAAGAGGGGTCTGATTTTTTGATGAAAGCTAAGGAAAATGATGCTTTGCTTGAGCGATGACGATATTATAATGGGTAATTTACGTTAAATCTCGTAATTATTGGAGGGGTGGTGAATAAATTAAAGAAGAGGGGATGCCTTGAGATAAAACGACATATTTTTCACACTATGGGAAATCCAGATATCTTTTTAATATTGCCTTATAAATTTAAGAAATAAAAACTTGTATAATATTAAAATATGATTATTATTATAATTCTGCTTTTTACGAAATACATTTAAAAATCGCTATCCGCCCTTGAGGAAGTTGCACATTCCTGGTTTAAAGTAACAAGTTAACGTCTAAAATGTGTGTAACTAGCTAAAATGTCGTGAAGGCATGAAAAGTCATGATTTTAGTCGTCGTCGGTAGCTTCGTCGTTGCGGGTGATTTGTTTGGAGATGTTATCAAAGTTTGTCGTCGTGCAGCACTGAAGGCGCCAGGGGTCGCGTTCTTTGAAAATTAAATAACAGTGAGTGAGATTCAGCTTGTTTGTTGGTAACTACGGGCTCAGGTGGCGTCTCAGTGTAGATGTCCTTGGAACCTGGTCTGTGTAGACTTGTTGGCTGGAATGGTGACGTCAGTTCGTTCATTTCTGGCAGTTATTTTGATTTAAAAATAATTATTTCCGAAGAAATAATTACGAATCAGGGGTGCTCGAAGATTAAGCAATCCTCCATCCCGCGCGTGGTCTAGGAGTATGGGCTTAAATTGAGAAACAGGAAATTAATCAGCCCAGATGAACCATCTGTCCTATATCTGCTTTAATCTGCTCTTCACTCTTTACTTTCTACTTTTACGTTTACCTGTTTAAGTTTACACAGCTTGTCTACATTAAATTCTTGGCATATGATTTATAGATCCCCACAGCCCTGATGGACCATCTGTCCTATATCTGCTTTACTCTGCTCTTCACTCTTTACTTTCTACTTTTACGTTTACCTTTTTAAGTTTACACAGCTTGTCTACCCACCACTACAAGGAGAAAAAAAGGCATCCAGACCCAGCCGCAAGTCTTTCCAGTAACTAATGACGCCTCTCAGCCCCGTGCCACTTTCTACATCATCGTCGTCAATCTCACCAAACGCTCTAGTAATTGACACCTACCCAATCTACCTACCCAATGAACCTTTCTGTGCCCTCCGCCCACTCACCAGCGACACCGAGGACTTCACGCCTTTAAACCCATCCCGTAACCTGAACCTGTACCTCAATAAAACCATGGCGAACATCAGGAGAATCCACAACTCATCCAAAAGTTAATCAACCCCCAGCACCAGACTTCACTTTGCCTTCCATACTTACTTCTTTTAGCTAGCCGGGCACTGGTAACGGATTGATCGTTACCAGTGAAAGTGGGTTTCCTCGGGGGTACTCCCGTTTCCCCCCACATTAAATTCTTGGCATATGATTTATAGATCCCCGACTCAGTTACCACCACAGATTACACCGTGTTCCACGAACCAGTCAACAGAAACGCGAACCTGCAAGAAAACTTTCACAACTGACCAACCAGGATACTCAAACATAGAGTTTAGATTTTTAAGATATAGCCACCACACCGACGTCACCTCTGGTTTGCTTCTCTCGCTAGCTATCGACCCTGATACATGCCAGTATGGAGACTGTCTCCTACACTATGCCATCGTCGATAAACTACCGCTCGACTTCTCGCCGCGGGACACAGCCAACTTCATCCGCTGCTACAAGCCTCAAGCCAGAGTATTCCCTGAGCGCACCCGTCGTCTACGCAAGGGAAATATACTCCTCCAGCCCAAGACACTCGAAGACGTCCGCTTCCTTCGCCACCCTTGGTTTTCAAACCCTCCCGTCACTTGCCAAACCCCTAACAGCAATGCCAGTGTCCACTCAATATTTCTCAGGAATGACCATTTATCCTTTACGCCAGAGGAAATTCATCAAGCCCTCGAAATTACAACCAACTCTACGATCCACGCAGTCCACCGTATCCCATCAAAGAAAACAGGTTCACCGTCCACTTTCATGAAAGTTGTCACAACTTCCAAGATAACCGCAGACCCCATCGTAACCCACGGCTGCTATCTCGATTAACATCACTTCAAAGCAGAAAAACCATACCGTAAGCCTCACCCTACCTTTCCTAACCCACCCTCAAGCCCACGTTCCACAACACCCAAAAGAAAACCACCGCCAACCAGGCTACTCAAACTTCACCCACTCCTGAATCACAAGACATGTCAATCCAAACTGAACATCAATAAACAGGAATGTAATACACTGGACATCACTAAACAGGAATGTAATACACTGAACATCACTAAACAGGAATGTAATACACTGAACATCACTAAACAGGAATGTAATACACCGAACCGTCTAAAACGGGACAACAATATCAAGATTCTTCCAGTTGACAAAGGAAGCAGTATAGTCATCGTAGACGTCAACGATTATGACACCAAGATCAAGCAGTTACTAGACAAACACCAATACAAAAAAGATGACCAATGACCCCCACAGAAAAGACTGAGAGACTCATCAATAGAACACTAAATAAAGTCAAGAAACAAGACTTAATCACCGAGAATTTAGCCAAAGACTTAAGAACCAACGATAGTTTTCTCCCTTAGTTTTAAGAACTAACTAAACTACACAAACCTAACATACCTTTAAAATCTTTAGTTAGTGCTATAAACTCACCTTGCCATCAACTAGCTACTTTCTTGTTACTTATCTTATCTCTACTATGAGGGAATACTGAACACCAGGTTTACGACTTGAAAGATTTCATGGAACAACTCAGAAAGCTACAATCAGATCCCAGGATATTCTGGCCAGTTTTGACGTCACAGACCTATTCATCAATTTTCCAACCTCAGAAACTCTTCATATAACCAGACAAAGACTGCTGAATGACTACTTTCTACCACACAGAAGTGACATGAAGATAGACGCCATCATTAAACTAACGACCATTTGCCTACAGTCAACTTATTCTAATAAAACGAGGAATTAACGAACAAACAGATGGTGTAGCCATGGGATGACCACTCTCTCCAATCTTAGTAGACATTTTTACGAAAGACATTGAAGAAAGAGCACTCTCATCCAGACCTATAAGACCAAGTTTATAGTGACGTTATGTTGACGACACCTTTGTTATCTGGTGCCACGGTCTTGAAAACTTACCAGCCTTCCTAGAACGTCTTAATTCTATAGACAACATATTCCACTTCATCGTGGAAAGAGAGCAACAAAATCGTCTACGTTTTTTTGACAAACTCATCAGCAGACAAGAGAGGAAAAACTACAACTGTATACAGAAAACCCATCCACATTGACAGATACTTCAAGTCCTAGCATTCAACCTTGATAAAACGTGGTATAATTTCTAAACAAGAGATCGCAAAACATTTGCGATAAGGAATCCATCAATACAGAACACAAAAAATATCATAGTGTTTTAAACAGAACGTCTACACCTCTACTTTAATCAAAGACTCGTGACAAGAATAAAAAACCCCATAAAGACAGACATGTCAACTGGACACAAAATAGGCTGGGAAAAACCAGAATCGGAGACAGAGACAAATTTTGGAAAACAAGAAAAAATTAAAGAATGCAGAATCTGTATGGCTACCATGCATTTTTTTCCACCAATCAGAAACAGGGATAAACAAACCAGTCACAACACGTCCTCCACAATCCACCAGGATATTATAAAGACCTGTAACAGCTTACATACACTGA